AGTTTTTAATACACAGAACACTAAGGTTTCTGTATTTTTCCAAAACAATGGAGGTCTGCAAAAATCCTGAAAGCTGTTTTGCTCTGTAGCTCCAGCAGTGTTTTGTGGATTAAAAAAAGCAGTAGTAACTGCCAAACATCAGGCAGATGGCAGATGTGAAGGAAGTGATGTGGTCATTCACAACCTCTTGGTCGATGCTCAACATAAATGTCTCAGCAGCAAAGCAGGAGGACCCTAAGAGTGAATAAGATGAATAAAAAATAAACTTTAATGACAAGTGCTTCAATATCAGCCATAAATAGAATTTCAGTGGTACTTATTTCAATATAGGAAGACAGTCATACAATTTATTGTTATCAGGTGAAATGTTAGCCAATGTCTCAAAGTGGGCTGCAAGGTAACATGACAGTAAACAAGCCAAGATTACAAGTGGGTGTTAGAGAAAGCTTGCAGGTTTGGTTCAGTTCACTTACCACACACAATAAGGCAGGGTGTTGGTGGCACATCCTCCATCTGAACCTCCCCAGCAAGGCTTGTCTTCTCAACAAAATGGAACAGATGCTCTTCCTTCTCATCAAAATGAGCCAGTAAAAGCAGCACCAACTGTATGACTTCTTCTGAGAAACCAGTGGACTGACTTCTTTCAGTTTGCTGCTTCAGAAGAGCCCCTAGAACTTGTTTGTGTTTATGTGCATCAACACGTTTGAAGAAGTTTAAGAGACGTGCCCCCTTTTTGTCCATATTGGCAAGGAAGGATTCAATCAGACTTACACCAGTCAGTTCCTGAAAGTGTGCTGCCATATCGACTTCCTGAAACAAAAATGGCCATTCCTGCCATAATGTCCGGATGCTTGCACCTTTATTGATCTCCTTACGCTGTGTGAAATACGTGGACTTGGATTAATTTTTTCACAGCATCTGAATTATAGTTCATCTCTTCAAACCTCTTCATTTGTTCTTTTTTTTTCTAGCTGACTCTCCACTGTCTCAGTGAGTGGCAGATGTTTCGGCTCCCAGTTGACACAGCCATATGTGTCATGAACACTTTCTATTTGTTCAGCAGATATTTCATCAGTGTCATCATCTGATGTTACTTTGCGTTTCTTTATCTTTGGTGTGTCAGGTCGGTTGACATTTCCAACTCTGGACTGGAGTTGCTTTACCAGGGAATGATATCCATGTCCAATAACATCACCATCAATCACATCCTGAAGAGACTTTGGATACCTGGCCACCATCATTTTTGCTATCTCTGTGGTGTTGTGTTTGGTTGGATTCTTACATATCTTCATCATCTCAGAGACTACAATCCTCACCATTTCTCGTCGTAGTCGTGCACTTGGCCTTTTCTGTCTTTCCAAACTCTGTACCAACTCTTCAGGGAGCTTCTGCCATGGTATCTAAAAATTGTCTACCCAGTTTGGTCCAAGTGGATAACAGCTTCCTGAAGGTGATGATGAAGCTCTGGATGATGCTGGTGATGGAGTGACCGATGATGGAGAGGGAGTGGAAAGGAGAGACACTGGAGAGGAATATGCCATTTTAAATTACTCATGTAGCTCTGTAAGACAAGGGTGCTACGTTGTGGTGGCAATGTTTTACACTCACCATTTTGGGCCCAGGCTACAACCAGTCTTCTGGCTTGTATGGGCTTTAATACTGGCAGCAAGTCTCCCTGAGTAATGTACTGTAAATCATCTGTTGTTGCTGCACCAAGTGCCTTCAAAGTTTCTTCTTTGACTTGATAACTTGATCAGGAAGATCTGGAAGCACTGTTGTTATAGCATTGCTTAGCGTCTTTGGTATCTTTGATTCAGCCATATCTGCTAAGACGCAAATACAGTTTAGCATCTGGCCCACTCTAATAAAGGCGTTTGTGTGACAAGAGACTGTGCTTCAATGGAGCAATCTGGTATCCATTGTTTATGTAATATGACAAAGGCCACATGTCAATCAGGTCACTAACTTGTCTGCATTCTAATCTTCCAGTGTCCTTTTTTTTTTCAGTGAAGCCAAAATGGAGGATTGTGCATGGAACTTGGTCACTGTAAAGCTCTGAGTAAAATGGTGATCCATCTTTTATCAGCAAGGCTGGAGGACTCACTGACCCAGCAGAAAGAAAGGCCTGAAACATCTGATGCCTCTCTGAAAGAGTCAAACACAGATTTTTGAAATTCTTCAGATGCCTAGTACATCTTTTGAAGTAACTATGTTTTTTTCTCTCAAAACGCATTGTCCATAGCCTGATGAGTGGGCCAAATTTCAGGATCAGTCCTGGATAATGCTGCAGATAATGGTGTTTAGGTCTCAAGGTGATATCTGGAAATAGTGCCTGCCTGGGTTCCAAATATTCATGGATGAGTGCATCCAGATAAGCAACCTGAGCCTTGGAAATTTGCTGAGCAAAAATCAGGACAACAATGTCCTTAAGGTGCAAAATTAACTGCCACACACCATCTTGGAGGACCTGCACTTTGTCTCCAATTATCAGAGGCAACAGTCTCAAGAAGTTCCAATTCTGGACAGCATGTCCACTCAGTTTCAGTGTTTGAGGACTGACCTCACAAGGTTTGGAGCAAGCAACAGTTGCTTTGTATTTAAACTGCTTGATTGTTCAAAATTGTGTAGCTGAACCATTTCTTTTTGTTGATGAAGTGCTTGAGGTAAAGAGCAACATCGTACGAGAGGATCCCCTCAAATATGTCATGACTGAGACAGGGGGACATGCCAGGTGTACAAATATGAAAGTTTCGTAGAGTATTAAATACTGACCTGAACTTTATCCCTTGTACTTGTGGAGCATCCTCTGTCTCCAGCTGTTCAATGGCAGATTTGTATGCTCCAGTCCACAGATGTTAGGATCAGCACCCTGAAATTCAGTTCGAGAAATCAGACAATATCTGCAGAAGTACTGAGATGAACTGAAATTTTCTGTAAAAACCCCAATGGTGTGAGAGCCCAGGTTGTCTCCAGCAATGCAGTAGAGAGCTCCCTTCACTACATGTTCATCTCCCATTTTTATCCCATTTTCCTCCATTTTTTTCAGATCAGTAAGCAGTTCGGAAAAAACCTTGGCATGGCCAAATTCCTTAAAATCCTTCTCTCTACACAATAAAACCAGCTGCATATAGTCAACATTTGATCGTACATGGGAGGGCATGTTGATTAGAGAGAAGTACACAGCCAAAACCTTGTGCTTCTTTTTTGCAGAGCCCAATGTGTTCACAACTTCCAATGTATCTTGGTATAAAAGCAGCTTGAGCCAACCTGGGTTTTCCTGAAAAAAAGGTGTTGCACATAAACACCTTACCATCACAACTGTCAGAGAGAACATCTGTTTTGGAAACATCATTAGGATCCACTGACATGAGGCCCTGCCAAAAACTGGACTCCAGCATACCCTTTGAAGTTTCTAGCACAGGAATATAATAAGCAAACCTTTCTGTCCTGTTCTCATCTCTGCCCAACAACACTTTTTTGGGCTCCACATATTTGAACATGTCTTTAAAGCACTGGGCTCTTGAGTAAGCAGTCCACAGGGACCCTGTGTGACAAGCTGTAAACAAGTCTGTTTCCTTAATTGTGTTAAATATTTTTACACTGTCTTCATCTGAAACGGACATATCTTTTAAAAGCAAAGTATGTTGATTCAAAGTATGTCTGTCCCAACTCGTGTATATTCTGTGTTTCTTCAACAATGTTTTGAATGGTCGACACTGGAAGAAGATGCTGTCCTTGTAGTTTCATGTAAAACACACATACACTACTGACAATAAGTTAGGGATATTGTTATTTACATGAGTGCTTTTCCTATTTGGTCTGAATTTTAATGAAATAAGTAAAAGTTCCCTTTGATATTACTAATAATGAATGAGAAGAAACACCATTTTCATTAGTTTAATATTTATTAACCCCAAAATTAAACAATAACAAGGATAGCCCCAAATAACAAAAATTGACAATGTCAGTAGCGACAATGCGTTCCACTCTTCCACAAGTGCTACACGCAGTTCTGCCAGGTCACGTGGGGGTGGAGTACGATCATCCAGTCTCTGCTTCAGCTGGTCCCAGACGTGCTCTATGGGGTTCAGGTCAGGGGACATTGCTGGCCATACCATATGAGGCACTCCGACTTCCTGAAGTCGAGTTGTGACAATTCTAGCACGATGTGGTGGAGCATGGTCATCCATGAACAGAAAGTTGGGGGTGTGCTGGCGGAATTGTGGGATGATGATGGGTTCTATGATATCTCTGAGGTAGGAACGTGCAGTGACTGAGCCATCTACAAAAAACAAATCTGTTTTGCGCTGGCTGGTGATGCCTGCCCAGACTGTTGCACCTCCTCCACCAAAGCGAACCCTGGGGACCATGTTAACCTCGGCATATCGCTCACCTCACCTTCTCCAGCAACGCTGATGACCATCATTTCTGTGCAAGGTGACTCAACACTCATCAGTGAACAGGACGGTAAACCACTGCTGCATTGTCCAGGTCACATGGTCTTGTGCCCACTGCAAACGCACTGTAACAGTGTCTTGGTGTCAGTGGAGTCACCTGCAACAGTCTTCTGGCATTCAAGCCAAAGCGGTGGAGTCGATTGCGAATGGTTTGTCTGGAAACCCTAGTACCCCTCACATCTCGTACAGCTCTGTGGCACTTGCATAGCGATGTCTGAGTGCATAGGTCCTGAGGTACTGGTCATCGTTGCGGTCGATCACTCTTGGGGCCCCACTCCTGGGTCTGTCACGAAGTGTACCAGTAGTTCTGTGTCTTGATGCAATTCTGCTGATGACACTTTGAGACACACCAAGTTCACGAGCAAGATCAGACTGCCTGCCACCGACTCGAAGGCGTGCCATGGCCAGGTGGCGCTGCTCGTCCGTTAAGTGACGTCGTGTGTTCATGGCTTTTTGAACGATGAACTTGAAATGACTTACTGACTATACCAGCTTTTTATACCCACAGAATGTTGAAATTGGTGCCACATTGAAAAGGGTTGTCTTTTAGTTTTTTGGTATTGGCCCCAATATGTAAGGTACACTGTACACAGTGAGACCATTACATGGAAAACACAAAATGAGGTGTGTCTATCTGTCATGGCCCTGCAGCCTCGGCCCCTGCCCGGCGCTCTCTCTCTCTCTCTCTCTCTCTGGCTCTCTCTCTCTCTGGCGCTCTCTCTCTCTCTGGCTCTCTGGCGCTCTCCCTCTATCTCTCTCTCGGGCTCTCTGGCGCTCTCTCTCTGCCGTCCCTGCATGCAGGCAGGTGTGCCTCATCGCCAATCTGGTGATTGTTGCGTGGGGGTTGGTCCGCTCCAGCTGCAACCTCCGGTCTGCTGGTACTTCAGCTCCAACCAGACAATGCTCCAGTGCCACGCCGTCAAATCACTCACCGGTTCTGTCTCCGTCTCACTCCTGCCCCGGAAATCGGATTCACCACCAGTCACCTGCCCGCTCTATCCCTCCCGTCAGCCCGGACACCAGCTCCGTCCACCTCTCCCTCCCGAAGCTCCCTGGCGTCCGCCCCCGGTTGTCGGCAGCCGCTCCACCGCAACCGCGGCAACGCCAGGCGCTCCGCTCCCCCATTCACCATCCTGCTTCCCCTCTCCTCTCAGTCGATTCTGTCAGGTCAGATTCACCCTGTATTTAGTTCGCCAGTCGGCGCTTTGCGCTAGCTCTGTGTTAGCTTTTGATCCGCTAGTTTTTTAGTTCTTTTACTTCTGTTTGCTTACCCCACCTGCCCGTGCGTAGAGCTAGCGTTTTCTCAGTTTGCTAGTCTTTTTGTTTTCTAGTCATTCTCCTTATTTAACACCTTTTGGTGTCCTCTTTTAGTTTCTCTTGTTTAGTCTAGTTTTGTTTTTTCCGTGCCTTTGGTTTTTGTTTTCTGTCCTCTTAAACATAGTTGCTTTTCCAGCAATCTCCTTTAGTTCTGTATCGGTTTCTTATGATAAATTATTTATTGTTTAAACCGCCTGTCTGCCGTGTCATGTTGCCTCGCGCATGAGCCTTCGTACCTCCCCGTAACACTATCACCCCAATACAATAGCCTCCCTGTCCCAGAAATCTCTGAAGTGAAACAAAGACTGTATGTATGAAATCCACTGAGTCTCTCACAATATCCCTAACTTATTGTGAGTAGTGTGCATTTCTCAGATACAGGTCACTGAAATTAGACCCGTGCCCAACAGTGTCTTCAGCATCTGACACATTGGCAGCTCCCTGTATGGTGGCACTTGTAGTGGGACTCTCACGATGTGTATCTTTGATTGATGGACTAATCACATTTTCTGACCAATGTCTGTGCTTTCTGGACATGTGGGAGGTAAAAGACGTTTTTGCAGTGAACACACTTTTGCATCCTCTCACTGGGCAAGCTACATGATGCCCTTCTGCTATGTGCTCTTTTAAGTGAGCAACCAACGACTTAGTTCCCTCACACTAGCGTTCACAAAGAGAGACAGCACATTTTAATGCCGTTAAAGTCACATCCTGAGTGACTGTTGGTGTACTGTTGTGGTGGTGATGGAAGTGTGACTTTAAAGCTGTATATCCAGAAAATACCTGCTTACAACTTGTTCCAACAGATCTGAAAATATGTCGGGGTTCATTGCAGTGCAGTTTGCAGTGCAAAACATATGCTTTTACAGACTGTACGTTTTCTCCACATATATTACAAGAATACATCTTCGACAGTCCAACAACACCAAGGTTATATCCACAATCAACACGAGTAGCGCGGTTAGCTAACCAAAGGCTTCAGCACATAAAACGATGACTAGCTTGATGCTAGGCGGGTAAACCCACACCGCATTCTTCCAAAGCAGTCAAACGGGTGAAATGTTGAAACGATTGTGAATAATATTTTCCGTCTCCTAAACAAGTCTGAACATGTATTATTTATGTTTCCAAGCTGTTATAAAAATCTAATGTAGGCAGATGTAAAATTATGGGGACTTTAGCTTAACGCTAGCTGTTGTTGTGTATAAATATATTATATCATGTGTGAAGTATAGTCCTTAAGGTTTAAAATATAAAAGAAGTTACATATATGCACATAGTGATGAAATGTCTTCTTTTGAAGAAGTTGCTTGGGTGTTTTCCTTATATGGTTTCACAGGACAAGCAACAGACGGAAGGAAAGAAGTCCATATAAGGATGCAACCATTCAGTGTGATGAAGATGGGCTGTAATCAGTTGTTTTACGACCTGACCAGGCATCATGTGACTGAGTAGTAAAAAGAAGGGTCAGAGGCAACAGGAGTAGTCTTGCTCTGTCTGATGCCAGGGAGAGTTTGACCCAGAGCTCTGTAATGCAATATTCAATGTGTAATTAAATTGATTGATTGAGACCAAACTGAATCCTATCTCATCTTTAGAAACGAATACGCGGAGAAAGACAGTTTCTCCAATACTGTCTGTAATGCAACCCTCTTTATAAGCCGAATAAACCCAATTCAACTCAAGTCAGTAACTTCATTTACTTACCAAGGTAACTGAAGACAGGTTCTAGTTGAGGCAAAGTCCTAAAAATCTTTCCCGCTGATGAAGCTCCTCCAGTAAAGACCGTGGACTTGAGCGGGTGAGGTCTGAAATAAAACCAACCTGGCCCGGGACCCAGAGTGTCTGAGGTTACCGGACGGGAGTCAGACTCAGCGCGCTGATTGGCCTGTTTGAACTTCAGGCGCCTGTCAAACAATGCTCAAGCTCCAAACTGCAGGGGGATAAAACTTCTACTCAGTTTCAAGATGCTTTAAAAATCAAATGATTTTCCTTCTATAAACTGAATTTGCCTTGGGATGGTAACTAAAGAGGGACATACTGTCATTAATCAAAAATACCACATTAATCTGTTTTAATTTTTTCTTGTTTTTAATATTCTGACATTAAAATGTAAGTGATCACAGCCCCCAACATTTCACTTTATGAGGTGGTATCACAGTAAAGGGCGTATATGGAGGCCTTGCTCTACTTAAAGCTCCTTTGTTGGCTGATATAAATGAACCTGGTGAAATAGTTTGGAAATTTGTGATTAATAAATTATTTCACTGTTGTTACAATGCTAATTGGTGTTGTATTTTATATGGTTGGAAAGCCAGTTTATTTACCTTAATGATGTCAAGTTGCAGTGGCAATTCCAGAGTCGGTTGGAGCCCTGGGCAAAAATGAAAAGGGGTCCCCTTGATCCAGCATTAATCACCATCATATTAAAAATAACCTGACACCAACAAAAAATTGCAAAGTGTATGCATGTTTTAATTCCAAAAGTTCATATGACAGTTATCTTCAAGATATGAATTCAACCAACATTTAAAAACATTTAAATGCAATATTTTTTTTCCTTTGGGTGGAAATTGTTAATGCAGTTCACTGCAAAGTCAAATAGAGAGGCTTTCCAACCACATGAGAAACAATGACAATTAGTATTGTAACAACAGAGAAATAATCTATGAAACACAAGTTTTCAGACTATTTTTGCTGAGTTTATTATGGCATAGTTCTGTTATGAGCACAATAGAATAGTACAATAGCAGTTACAAACTGCATTCCTTACGAGAAATGAATATAATAAATGCAATTTGGACTGTTGTGAATATTACAACATTGTGCCATTATCAGCACAACAGTTAGTGTATTTAAAATTTAATATGTGTATTTTTTATGCAAAAATTGCAGTTATAGCAGTCATAACAATTGAAGCATATGTCCATAACACAAAAGTACATCAATTTGACAGGTACAACCTGTATTTTCTACATGAAATAAATGCAAAAATTGCTATGTTACTTGTTATAAATATTACAACATGTTTCTGTTGTCACCACAAAAGTATGTACATTTAACTGTGAAAAATTGTATTCTTTTCAAGAAAATAAATGCAATTAAAGCTGCAAGCAGCGTTGGTTGGGTCCTCGGTCTGCGTTGCCACCTCATGCCCGTCTGACCTCCATTTTGACACAATTTAAACCTGCTAAAAGTTGAAGGAGCCATTTTTCTGTCTCTGCTCAGCCTCAGACTGTCAGCGAGTCACATGACACTGAGCTGCCAATCAGGATCAAAGCTGCAGGTGACGACGTCGTCATTCTTCATGCCCCTGGCTGAGAGAGCTGAGAGTTTTACTCACTGTCACTCTCCCACACAGCCACAATTTTCACCAAATATGTGTTAAAACAGCATATTTTTGTGGGAAATCTTGTTAGGAAGCCCTCAGTGTCATTTTTAAAGCTGTAGGACCTTTAGTTTTTTCTGTAGATGACCAAATGTCACAGCATGTCTGCACATGCCCCATAGACAGTCATACAAAGTTTGAGCTGAGGCTGAGGCAGCTCATCAACTTTAACGGCTCACCATTGGGAAACGCCAAATCCTTTCAGAACTGGTTTACATCAAGGCCTTCTCTGTCTCCTGTGCGATTTTCAAGTTGGTTCGATTTACGGTGTCAATAATTTTTTCCCAAAAGATGTTTTCGCTCATTTTCTTACTTTGAAAGGCAAATTGTGGACTTCCTGTTTGAGATAGGTCAGGGGTGTCAGTGCGAGATTTGTGGGTCTCGTTGAGACGAACGTTTTGGTGTTGGTTTGATCTCTGTACGACATTCCTACTGGCCGCTAGGGCCGTTTTAGTGTGTTTTTCTGTAACTAGGTGGCGCTAGAGAGCTTTTCTTGTTTTTTTTCCTGTTATCATTTTTGGATCGGCACAAAAGATGTTGTTTTTAAAAAGTGGTATTGTCGTTATCTTTCGTTTGTTGTAAAAAACAACAACAACAACAAAAAGTGTTAATTTTATGACATTACCAATCATGTTGTCTTTACCGTCACGATACACTTTTTGATAGAAAATGTTGCTTTTTTTGTTAACTTGTGTTTTACCTCAATCATTGTGGTAATGTTTGAAGGTCTAAATTTGCATTTCCTGAAAAAATATACATTGCAATTCAAATATTCTGATTCGTATGCAATATTCCACTGTTGAGACAAGGCAGTATATTAAAAAGTTACAGAGAACATGTTGTTAAAATGTATTTTAAATGTAACTACAAATATTTAGAACATGATTCTTAAAGAGCATGTTTTGTACTTATTGGAATGATTGTGAAAACTTTGCTTGTCAAATAATTTTGTATTTAAATCAGGGTTTTGTTTTTGTGATGGTAGTGACATTTAGCTCTGACAACTTTGAAAAATGCATAATAATAATAATAAAAAAAAATCTAAAACAAAAAAAAAAAGAGAAATCACTCATCCCCATGGTTAAAATACTCCCATCAAGCTGCCCTCATGTCATTCCCTTTTGGATTACCATGCTCAGGTAATGGTTGGACAGGAGGTTGATTGTTTACATGTCTGCCTGGGAGCTCCTCAGTGATGTTATCCCCATGTTCTTCACAAATATTATGAAGTAAACAGCAGGTCAGCGCCATTTTCTTGCTCAGCTCTGACTTGCAGTCAGTTCTTTGCATGGGGTAGGCTGGGCTACCAATAAGGTAATGGCCAACATCACAGCCAGAGATGGTCACTATGTTTTGCCCCAGTAGCCGTCCATCACTTAAAATATTCCACAAATGCGACTGACGAAGAACTCTTGTGTCATGAAAACTCCCTGGAAAGTCAACACACACATCCCAGAAAAATGCCATCCACAACTGCTTGCAGAACAACTGAATGCCATCCCTTGTGGTTGTAGTGAGCCCTAAGATATTCTTCTGGTGCAATTATTGGCATGTGGCTGTCATCTACTGCACCAACACACTGTGGGACTTTCCAACGGTTATTAAAGATTGTGGCCATTTCTATTAACTTTGTGGCATCAGGAATCGTGAGTACAGGGAGAAGCACTCTGATCACTGTATTACAAAATTCGTGGACAAAGGTGAACACGGTGCTCAGGCCTACTTCAAAGGGTGGCTGATGGTCCCGTATTCACTGTCAGTAGCCAGTTTCCAGATGGCAATTGCGACCCGCTTTTGGACTGGGACACATAAGCGGCAATTTCTGTCCTTGTTCGCCAGGATGTCCCTGGTCAGATCACAGATGTATTGAAATGACTCCTGGGATGCATGGAAGTTTTGCACAAACTGTTGCGTGCTGAAATCTAGTACAGTCACAAAGTCACAAAAAGTGTTTAAGCATAT